GACAAAATAACAATTTATAAATTATCAAGGGCTCATGAGGGAGGGGGGAGCGTGGAGGGAGGGGAAAAATGAGGACCTGATGCCAAGGGCTTAAGTGGAGAGCAGATGTTTTGAAGATGATGAGGGCAATGAATGTACAACTGTGCTTTACACAATTGATGTGTGTGTGGACTGTGATAAGAGTCGTATGAGCCCCTAATACAATGACTAAAAAACCACAGAAGACACCTACTCTCCACGCCCTGCCTGATCGTTCAGCACCCTGATTTCATCTTGTGTGTTTCTAATCAAACCCACTGCTGGCCAGCTGATTCTGACCCAGAGACCCAATAGCACAGAGTAGAACTGTCCTACAGGGCAGTTTCCCAGGCTGTAACCTCTGCAGAAGCAGGCTACCCAGTCTTTCTCCTGAATGGCAGCTGGTGTGTTCCAGCCGCCCAACTTTCCGTTAATGGAAGAGCACTTAACCAACTACTTTAGCATTTGAAGATGTAAACCACACTAAGCTCAAGCCAACTGCAAATTCCTTTTTGAGTAAGAGACTACAATTACATATTTACTCTGCAATGCCTTTTTCTAGGCAAAGTCCAGTGTCAATTGTTAGACACCGCCTTTTCTTCTTTTTTCCCTATATGTATGAGACCAAGCGTCCCTGGGCTGCTACAAGAGACTAGTAGACAGGGATAGATAAGAAACAACTTTACTTTGAGCAGGGCGAAGGACAAAATAGCACTAAACAGCTATTATAGTCTAAATCCTTTTTTATCAAGCTATTAGAGTTGAATTTGGATTTTTTTTCAATGAAATTGAAAAGGGAAGAAAAATCACCTTTCACAACACACACATGCACACCTACATACACAACACACAGAATCTTGTCCGGTATGAGACCTACGAAGTAAAATCCCTAAGAGGAAGAGGCTGGACTGGCCCGAGAAAGACATGGGGATCAGCTATGGAGGACAGACCTGGCATTCTCATCAACGCACAGGATCTGAGTAAACGAGAAAAGTGTGTTGGAATGGGGGTCCGGGGGGAGTGGGAGCAGACTTGTGATGCACAAAATTGGCAGCAAAAACGGCTGTGACACACAGGAGAAAGAAGCAGCCAGCTCTTAGTGGCCTGAGGACAAGTGGTCATGGTCTCCATAAGAACGAATTCAGAGCAGAGCCCGCAGCCGCCAAGAGAAGAGAGCACTGGTGAGCACTCCTGAGCCTTCCCTGTGTAACAGCCCGTGCTTCTCAGCTGGGAGGGAGCGCGCCCCTCAGGCCAGCTTTGCTCAGAGCCCACAGGGAGAGTTAAGGGGTAAAGTCGGCACAGCCTTAGCAAGCGTCCGCTACCCTAGGGATCCTCTGTCTTTCTGTGCCACAGGGGAGGGTACCATGTGACTCTTCCCACGGGGCTACGTGGGGTCTTAGGAAGAGAGAGAATCTCAAAAGACCCCCGCCAAACCAGACTCAAGAAATCCGTGGCATACCTGTGCAGAACTGCTCAGTGAAGGCACTAGAGGAGGCAGCCACCCCTCACAATCCCGCGGTGCGCAGCACTCACAGTCAGCAACTTGGACCGCATGCCATGGTGAGGCTATGCCCGAAGGCACTGAAGGGCCGCCTCCACTTGCACAGAATAGCAAAGCTGTTCTTACCATGCACGCCGTGCTCCAAATGTCAGCAGGGGTACTGTAACCGGCACCTATCAAAACCTCTATGCATCTGTACTGGCGCGTCTGGATGTCTTCTGTGAAGTGTTTATGCTGAAAGGGAGCGCACTGCGTCACCACAGAGGCACACACACATTACACAGGAACAGTCTGCTAACCTATAATCGTGAACAAATGTTTTACAAAGAAAACTCTACTTACCACCCAACAAGCATTTCCCAGGTCGGCAATTTTAACTCGAATGTTATCTGCATTCCGTGGATCCAGGGGGTTCACCAACAAGTCAGCTGCCCGAGTTTTCACTGGCATGGGCAAACAGCAGGAGAGTTAGTGGGGGCAAGTGGGTGGCAGGTGTGAACGCAGTACTTGTCAGGAACATGGTCTCGTGTGCTAGAAAAGTGATGGTGTGGTTTTTAGGCCTCTAACACTGTATGCTAAACCCAGTGGAAGGTAAAATTCTTGGTCTCCAGTCTTGAAAACATTCTGTAAATTACGTGTAAACAGGGATGGCCAAAGACCTCCTAGATGTAGCCTTGCCCTTTCTCACTTTACCTGTGATCCCATCACCTTGGACCACCCTGGAACAAGCCAGCCTGGTGCTTTCCTGCTTGCATCTTCCCAGCTGCTCCGCTGCCTCACAGGCTTTTGTCACAGGAGCGCAGGGGGAGATGCTGCCTTTGTGGGAAACCAATCAGGGGAGGCCTCCTAGGACGCTGTGCCCACACCATCCCATCACTCTAATACCTCCCTCTGGGCTTGAGCCAAACCCAGACAGGACTCAAAGCTACATGACGGTTGATCAAGGTTATTTGGTGTTGTTTTTGGACAAGGCAGACTCTGGAACAAAGGTCTCCTGAGATGACCTGAGCTTTGAGCGTAAACCTCGAGTTCCCTCTCCACTACCTTGCCAAATCGCCAGCCACTCTCAGTAACAGGTTTAGCCCCTGGGGAATCTCAACAGCAGCATTGGACCCGGCTTTCTGGGGTTCCAGGACCAGGAGAACACCTCAGACAAGCCCCGACCATGTGTGTATCGGCCACGGTTAACCAGAGAGCAAGTGACAGGAAAACTAACTTGCTGAGTCCTAAACCGAAAAGCCTGAAGTGAGTCAGCATCTTCATCATTAAGCCACAAGATGACCTACAAGCTCCGCTTTCTGGAAAGGATGAAAAGTAACCATGGATTTCAAAGGTATTTCTGAAGTGGTATTTACAGACTCAACAGAAAGGCCTACTCAAAGCCAGAGTATCAAACACCCACCTCAGAGAGTCCTTTTGCTCACTCACGGCTGGGTACATCTAAAAGAAAACTAAACCTCCTTTTGGGAACACCAGTGCTGAGGAATCACCGGGAAGTGGCCCCACCCAGGCAGGAAGGCCCAGGCACGCTGACCGTCCATAAGGCAGTCCGTTTACCAGTGTGGTGCTGGGACCTTCAGCATCCAGAAAGCTCCGCAGGAGGGCTTCAGGGGAGGGTGAGAGAATCGAGGTCAATGTTTAGCCCTCAAGATTGATTCCTCAGAGGATCAAGCAGGCCAGCCAGGCTGTGTGTCCCCTTCTTGCTAACTGCCCTAGTCCAACGTCCCTGCTTTGAAGGATGGGAGTCCACAAGTGGAGTGGCCCCAACACCAGGTGTGAGCTACCGAGCAGCAGTGCAGAGATGCCGAGCAGGGACAGCACACACGCTGATGGGGGAGCAGCCAGAGCTCCAGGAAATGAGGAAATGCTGAGCCGACGCTAAGAGGACGGCACTAGGAAAGGTCCTATGAATCCCTGATGCAAGTCACCAAGCAAGCAGAAAAGAAGAGAGAATTTGAGATTTGGGAACCTGGGTTCAAATCTTACGTTCAACACCTAAAATGTGTAAGGCTTTGGCAAATGACAAACTCTTTGGTGCCCAGGTGTCAAGAAAGGAGGTCAAGGAGGGGACTTCCCTGTGTTCTCACCTGTCTGCCTGCACTGGGTGTCTGGCAAGACCCACGTGACCACCCGCAGGAGCCTGAGGCTACAACCTGGTCAGTGAGGGATCACCCCCAGGCATCAGAAAGCAGGCAGAGAAAAGAGGAAATCAACTGGGGAGTTCTCCCCCAAAGTAGTTCGGACCCAAGGCTTGCTGGGCGAGGAGGAGGACGCTGCATGCCTAACGCATGACATGGTCTCCTCAGATCATGGGAGTCTTGGTGTCTTTTTGCCCATGAAAATGAATTACCTGGTAAAACTGATTATGGCGATGACTGTACAACTCTTCTTAATATGAATGAACTATTAAATTGTATGTGAATTATACACCAATAAAACTGTGTATTAAAAAAAAAAAGACAAGACAGTGAGTTAGTGAGAATAAATAAAATCCAGAACAGAAAAATAAGCAGATTAACAAAATCAGAAATTGATTCTTTGGCCCGTAAAAGTGACAAACTTTTAGGCAGATTGAACATAAATACAGATCAGCAAAATAAGAAATTGAAGAGGAAACAGTGCAACTGACTGACGTAAAACAGAATTAAAATAGAATACTGTGAACAAGTGTAAGTCACACATCGAACTACCTAGATGACCTGGGCAAATACTTAGCAGCGTACAACCTGCTCAAACGGACTCAAGAAGAAATAGAAAGTCGTGACAGACTCATGTAAGTAAAGAGATTAAATCAGTGATCAAACCTCACTTTCCCTTTCCAAACCGCCACCAACGTTCTGGACCAGATGGCTTCTCGGAGGAATGCCACCAAACATCTAGAGAAGGACTTACAAGAATTCTGTTTAAATTCTTCTAAAAGAAAAAGAAGGTAAAATAGTCTTGAATTCATTATAGGAAGCAACATAACCTTGATCACAACACTAAACACATCACGAGAAGGAAATCATAGGCCAATTATATATTATGAATAGAGGAGCAAATATCTTTAACCAAATACCAGCAAATAGAATCAAACAGCATATTAAGAGAGATGCCATGATTAAATACAAATCATTCCAAGAATGCAGGGTTGATTCGATATCAGAACATCAGTCAACATAATAAACCACATCAATAGGGGAAAAGAAAAAGGGAAAAAACACACAAACTGATCATTTCTATGGATATACAGAAAAAGCACCTGCTGGCATCCAACCCATTTTCTTGATTAAGAACGCACGAGCTCGGAGCTGAAATACTTTAATATGAATCAGGACACACATGAGAAGCCAACAGCACACTACTGAAAGCAGGAGCAAGACAAGGTGCCTCTTCACCACTTCCATTCAGCACTGCTCTAGAGGTCCTTGCTAGAAAATAAAGACAAGAAATCAAAGGTCTCCAGATTTGAAAATAAGTAACATCATCTTTATTCACGAGTGCCAATGATATATACAGAAAAATCCCAAAGTTTGCAAGAAAGCATCTACAGATAATGGATGAATTTAGCAAAAGTTGTGCGATACAAGGTCAACAAACAAAGATGAGTTGAGGGTGTATACCCAGCAAGAGAAGTCTAAAAGGAAAATCTGGGAAACCAATTTACTTACAGTAGCATCTAAGACAGTGGTTCTCAACCTGTAGGTCGTGACCCCTTTGGGGGTCGAACTTCCCTTTCACGGGAGTTGCCCAATTCACAACAGTAGCAAAATTACAGTTATGAGTAGTAATGAAGACAATTTTATGGTTAGGGGGTCACCACTACATCAGGAACTATATTAAAGAGTCGCCGCATTAGGAAAGTTGAGAACCACTGACAGAATAAAATACCTAGGAAATTCATTTAGTTAGGACTATCAAGGATCTATACAATGAAAATTATAAAAAACTGCTGAGAGAAATTAAGGCTTTGAAAAACAGAAAGCTGTTCCCTGCTTACACATTAGATTAAGATGCCAATACTACCCAAAGTGATTTATATACATCGCAACACCTCTTGGATTATGGTTCCTTGGTTTTGGGGGTTTGGGTCATGGCTCCTTTGGGATATCCTATCCATTAGCCCAATAACACATTTAGTGCTCCTGTTCTGCCCCACAATTTGTTGCATAGAGCCTGGGGCCTTAAGAAGAATACACATGGCCATCCAAGACCAACAACTAGTCTCTACACCCCAGGAACACTAGAGGAGAGTCAGAGATAGGAAGATACCAAATGTGTGGCTAAGTGTTTTCATGGCCTGCTTCCTTTGCCATGACCCTGAAAGAACTTCGTGGTGCCTCAAAGGTTCTACGGAAGAATCCCGATCCAAAGGGGGAGGGAATGCACAACAAAATTTCTGAACTGTTGAGACTTAAGGCACTTATCAAAGTACTGGCCCTGAGATAATCTTTAAACCTCAAACCAAAATTACCACCTGAAAGTTTCCCAAAACTAGTTTTATTGACCTGTCTGCTGGGAGCATTCTGTTTGTTAAGATCTGTCTACATGGGCTCAAACTGACAAGAGCAACTCAGAAGATTTAAGTATGAGCCTTGGATTGCGTGGGGGAGGGGGCAGCATGAGTTTATGTTCATGAAGTAAAAACAACTCAGAGAGGAGAGTGACAACGGCTGTGTTTGCACTGTGCAGCCCATGTCACTGAGCCGCATGCAGAAACCAGGGAACTGGGCACGTTGTACTGTATAGTCTCAACAACAACAACTAAAATACACTCTCCATATAGTTAGTAAAAACAAAAGAAAATTAGTAAGATGTGCATGTGAAGGCATCCTTGTGCCATCCATTCTCATTTGTTCCTGAAATACACCTATTTGAGCTGCATAATTCAATTAAGCCAGAGGAACTATAGTTTAAGACGTGATACTACTTTAATAAAAGACACATCATAACATAGCTCATAGGTTTTTTGGGGGTACTTAGTATCCTTCATTAAACTAAACAAACAAACAAAACATTCTGTGCCATCCTAGCTGAGGATCATAAATTAAAAGTCACCTACCTCAAATGCATTCCAAATCATTGTAGTTAATTTATTTCAGTATCGATAGGAGATACGAGAAATTTGCTCATTTTCCTGTCTTTGTGTAGTATAAGTTACTTGAAGCCACAGTCAGAGCCAATTCCAACTTAGGGACGCTCACATTTCTTATTCAACTGTGCAAACATATGGGGTCAGATTGCCTACTCCTGTGACAGTTCCCACAACCCCCCCTCACGAACAATGCTAGCAAGGGATCAGCCCCCCTTGGTGTCTTCCTTCCAAAAACCAGCCTATAACTGCTGTCTCCAGTGTGTGTGTGTGTGTGTGTGTGTGTGAGAGAGAGAGAG